GGCGGAATGTCCAAACGGTCGGTTAACTGGCGATCTGTCCAAACGGTGGGTTAACTGCCGATCTGTCCAAGCGATTGACTGGCGGAATGTCCAAACGGTCGGTTAACTGGCGACAAGACCTGAGGATGAAGAAGAGAAGACAGACTAACTTTATTACATTGCTCACAGCTTCCAAGCGAGAAATGAACATTTACCACCATGAAGTGCAGCAGTGATCATCATTTAAACCAGTTTAATAAATAATGGAGCAAAAGGCGTCGACAGACTGGAACAACCATCTAGAAATGAGTAAAAATGTCTTAAAGGAACCGTGTTTACCCTTCAGCAGGTAAATGAGACAATGGGATCAATCGTTTTACTCTAGAAATAAGATAATTAGATAACATGCTCTTACAATAAGACAATGCCTTATTTTATATCTAAATTGTCTTGTTCTGTTGGCAAAATGTCTCTTTAATTGAAGAACAAAAGCATTTAATTTTTTCCATTGAATAGGTTCAGTTCTGTGCTAAATAAATATGTTGCTAAACGCAGTAAAGCATTGAGTTGTTTTATTTTAAAGGATTATAAAGTTTAAGTCATGTTTGGGTTTTTCTGTTCCTCCTGTCCCTCTCCCCTCAGGGGGCAGCCCAGCTTTGTAGGCCCCCGCCCCCGCCCCCACCCAGAGACTCATGTCTACATCTATCAATACCTCTGGGTTTATCTATTGTTGAATATCTGCTCCTTTAGGCCTGCTGTGGATGAGTGCAGGCAGGAAATGAAACGATGGCGTTTGGGCTTTACTGGCCGCTTCATTTCCTGCCTGTAGCGTGGAGCCTCAGCAGGCCGCCTGTCTTCTGGACCGGCTCCAACACGTCTTGTGCAAGTTGTTGTTTTTTCCAGTACTTCCTGATCTCCTAGCAGTTTCATTTTGTGGCGTAGCAGTCAGCTGTCAGCGGTGAATTTCCTTTAGTTCTCACTCAGACTGCAGCGCTAATGTTTTGCTCTTCATCAAACTGATCTGGGAAGTAAAAAAGTGATGAATGGATTTTATTATGGCTGCAGTTATGAGCAGCACAGACCAACCAAACTAGAGCAACACAGACCAACCAAACTAGAGCAGCACAGACCAACCAAACTAGAGCAGCACAGACCAACCAAACTAGAGCAGCACAGACCAACCAAACTAGAGCAGCACAGACCAACCAAACTAGAGC